GGAGTCTGCTTCTCCCTCTGACCCTCCTCCCTCTCATGCTCTCTGTCTCTCATTCTCTCTGTCTCAAATAAATAAATAAAAAATCTTTAAAAACATTTCCCTTGGGGCCTGGGTGGCTCAGTCAGGTAAGCGTCTGATTCTTGGTTTTGGCTCAGGTTGTGTTCTCAGGGTCGTGAGATCAAGCCCCACATCTAGCCACTCAGTGAAGAGTCTGCTTAAGTTTCTCTTTCTCTCTCCCTCTGCCCCTCCTCCCCTCTTTCCCAAATAAACAAATTAATTAATTTTAAGAAACCATTTCCCTCTGTAACATTTTAGGATACTCCAATATCAAAAGCTTGGAAATAATAAAAAGGAAATGGGATCCACAATTAATACACATGTGTAATTTGAAACCCAAAACCATGCACTGGTTTTGACATTATCACAATGAGTGGGCCGCTATCTATACCTGAAGTCAGAAACTCAGATTCTCCCTCTCTCTTGAAACTTCCTCTTACACAGCAACAAGTGTAATTTCTGAGCCCAGCCAGCTCTGTCCCTCAGAGAGACACCTGAGTATGCTGGCCCCTTATTAGAGTGCGGACTGGTTGCAAGTTTTGCTTAGGCCTAAAATCTAAGCCCTATACTCCAAACTTGCATTTTTCCATAATGCTCTAGAACACTCAGTGTTGGATCAGGCAGTTAATAGAGTTGTACAGAGGAAGCTCTTTTAACTGACCTCCACTTAACCAATGCCTGATCAGTAAATGCTTTTCATTCCCTCTGAAAATATGGGACCGGATGCCCAGAGCATACTAAATGCTCCAGACTTCTGGAACACCTGTTCTTCTGAACAGCTGTGGCTGGGTTGCATGCTTGTAAAGCAGCTGTGGTGGAACACCTGTGCCCCAGAACACCTGTGTACTTTCCCTATCGCCTGACTGCATGCTTATAAAGCATTGGTTCTCAAAACGTGGTGGGGAACCAGCTGCAACAATCATCCCTTGAGAACATGTTAGTCATGCACATTCCCGGGCCCCACTATAGACTTAGTGAATCAGAAGCTGGGTGTAGGGCCCAAGAATGTGTGTTTTAACAAGCCCTCCAGATGCTTCTGATGCACGTTAAAATTTGAGGACCACTGCCAAAAAGAGTCAAAATTGGTTTTGTTCCCAAAGCTATATATGCCATTTATGCATGTTATTGTACTTAATTATAAACACTAAGAAAACCAATTAAATATAGGCATTAAAACAAATTGAGTTTTTTTTTAAAAAAACAAACTAAATTGAAAGCTTTGGAAAGACCTAATTAAAGCAATTTGTTAACCAAAATTGCTGTGGAACCAGACATGGATAAAACATGTAAAAGAGTGGGGAAATTTTCATAAAAATTTACAAGCATTCTGCCCTTAGTCTGCTTTACAGAATTCTTCAAATTCTTGCTCCAATTTCAAGAAACCAAAATTGAAAATCATGGACAGTACATTATGGGTATGATTTATGCCAGAAAAAAAAATTTTTTTTTTAAAGATTTTATTTATTTATTTGAGAGAGAGAATGAGAGAGAGAGAGCAGGAGAGGGGGGAGGGTCAGAGGGAGAAGCAGACTCCCTGCCGAGCAGGGAGCCCAATGCGGGACTCGATCCTGGGACTCCAGGATTATGACCTGAGCCGAAGGCAGTCGCTTAACCAACTGAGCCACCCAGGCGCCCCCAGAAAAAAAGTTTTTAATCATAGATTTAAAAAATAAAATTAGTACTTTTCAAAAGTGTAATTAAAGGTAATTTTTATTAAAATACATTTAGGTGTTTTAAGTAAAAACGAAAAGGTTAAGATAGGTTTGGATATGTGGTTTTTTTATGATTCCACTCTCTCAAAGACACTTCCCATCAATCGGCCAACCATAGGCCCAAGCTCACGGGGTAAGAAGGTTTCTCCCGGACTTTGATTCTCTTGCTGGTTTTGTTTTTTGTGTGCTCAGCAATCTGGGGAAATGAAGGGGAGAGGAGAGGTTGGCAAGGTGGGATTCAAGCATTCCTGGGCCTCAAGACCCTGGCCTGTAAAACCCCAAGGTGTCCAATCTCCCCTTGACTTGAGGGCCACTCACTGGCTTGCTGCCAGGCTGCTGGGGACAGCAGAGGAGGCCAGGAGTATGACATTAGATGTGGAGGAGCCCACTTCAAGCCTGTGAACCTAAAAGATTTTTAAGACCAAGAGAATTCCAGTCCATTCAACTCTGACACCCTTTGCCACATGCTTTGGGTTCTTTGCATAACTTCCCTGGTTGCAAAACTGTACTTGTGAAA